GTAGACCCAGCCAGTTTTTCCTCTATCTTGTCCCTTGTACTCTCTATGGACTTTCCTGTCCTCAGTGACCCAGGCCCTGTGTTCCTTTTTCTTGGTTTCTTTCATTCTCTTAACTACTAAAACTTCAGGTTTCTAAAACAAAAAAAAATTTCCTGCTTCAAATATTTCCTAGTACAACTCAATCATTGTGAGTCGGCTAAAATTTCCCAGAGAACAGTTAAGGCCGTCAGCCTCCACCTCTGGAACCCCTTGTCCCACTATACCTGAGTTGATTGCTTGAATAGCCAGGGCCAGAGCAGTTTGTTCCTAGCAGACATCAAAGCCACTTCCTTCTCTAGTAATGCCCTCAATCCCTTTCCCAGAAATCTTTACCAAAGTTGCATTTGAGGACAAATATGGTGTAGGAAAAGACAAAGCAGACAGCCATACAAAAAAGAGCAACACCATCAAATACTAGAAAGCCAGAGATGCATTGTTCAGGTTGATGGTGCTCCCCAGCTGAAACTGCCATGGAGTCAAGTTCACAACCAGGTCATACCTGACGGTAAGATCTAAGGGAGACCTAAATTCAACAATATAAACAGCAAGTCCGACAGCTCTCTGTAGGGCATCTGGACTCATGATACAACTACCTCCAAAGACCGTGGACAGCTCCACCTCTCCTGCTCTTCCAATCAGAGTGTACTTGGACCCTCTCTCTTGGGCCAGCCCCATTCTATGCCTGCATCTTCCCAAGAGGCCAGTCCATGGCTCTGACATCTTCAGCATCTTTGAGCCACTACCAAAATGTAGGCTTCACACTGTGGCCTCCTCGTAGGAACTCTGACCCCACCACACACTGCCTGGCCTTAGCTGCTCTCTGAAATCATGGTACAAGATGTATAACCCTCCCAATCTCCCTTCTTTCCTGCCTACAAAACCAGTAATATGTAGACAACAACTTCACCTAGTTCTGCTACCACCTTGGGATAGAGGCTGGCCTCCCAGACCACAGTTGCATGGGCCTTCTCTTGCTGGCCCTGGAAAACATGCTCCTGGGCAGTTGTCTTTGAGCAGGAAAGCCTTCCAGCAGCATGTTCACTCAGCTCTCTACTTTCAAATTAATTTGACTCTTAACCAAGTAGAGCAACCGCCCTCACCATGCCCCTGCCCTCTGGACAGTTCCCCTATTGTTCCAGTGGACACTGGAGGTTTCTCTGTAAGGATGTTGATTATCTTGTTAGTGACTGCACCTGTTTCCTCAGCCCCAGCCTTGTGTGTGCAGCTTTGAACATCATCTTTCCCTGACAAATAACACACAGTTTTTCTTTTTTTTTTGTTTTTTTGTTTTTGTTTTTTTTTTGTTTTTTTTTAACACACAGTTTTTCATGTTCCTTTGTTCTGTCTCTCTCTCTCTCTCTCTCTCTCTCTCTCTCTCTCCCTCTCTCTCTCTCTGTCTCTGTCTCTGTCTCTGTCTCTGTAGGCAGTGACCATGATTCATCCTGGGTGCTACAGAGTCTAGAGATTTCCTCTGTTAAATAAGTTAGTCCATTACTTTAAATTTTTTTTATTTATATATTGTTTTGGGGTTTTACTGCTGTGAACAGATATCATGATGTGAAGGCTACTCTTTTTTTTTTTTTTCCAGAAACAATGGTAACTCAATCTCTGGGTGCAACAACTAGAATGCTAATCTTGTAAGCCATATTAAATCTAAATTCTCCAGTGGTGAATCCTGGCAGATTCACCATATAAGCCAGGAGACACTAGTAGCTACATCTTGTCTTCTCGCTATTCCATCCAAAAGGCCCCCTCTCTCGCCTGCTTCCTCTGTCCCTCAGCCCAACCTGGAAGTCCCTCCTACTCACCCAGTGTTGGCTCCCAAGGCTACTCTGATAAGGACAACATTTAATTGGGGCTGGCTTACAGGTTCAGAGGTTCAGTCAAAGTGGGAGCATGGCAGCATCCAGGCAGGCATGGTATAAGCGGAGCTGAGAGTTCTAGGTCTTCATCAGAAGGCTACTAGCAGAATACTGACTCCCAGGGAGCTAGGGCTAGGGTCTTAAAGCCCACGCCCACAGTGACACACCTACTCCAACAAGGCCACACCTTCTAATAGTGCCACTCCCCGGCCTAAGCATATATAAACTATTATATATAAGATTTTATATTAGATTATATATTATATATATATTAGATTTTTCATGTATTAGAGTGTTTTCCTGTGTGTAAGTATGTGCCCAATCCTCCTCAGATATCAGAGAAGGTATTGGGTCCCCTGGAGCCAGTTACAGATAGCTATGAATCTCTACATGGGTGCAGGGAACTGAACCTGGGTCTTCTGCAAGAGCATCATGTGTTCTTAACCACTGAGCTATCTCTCGGCCCCAGTCCATTAGTTTTAGATTTCGCCTCAAGGAAGTTACCAGGACATGGGCAAGGTACAGGCAGTTTTTCTGTCAGAATATAATATTAATGTTTTCCATTGTAATTACAATAAAGGAATATTCTAGAAACTCTAGAATGTTGACTTTCAATGATACTGGTCCCTTACTATTTTTAAAATCTGGTGCTGGGAATAGAACCTATGACCTTTCAGATGCTCAGCAGCATCTGAATTCTACTCCTGTACCTCATCCCTGGCCTAATTTCTTACTTAGCTATTTTTGAGGCAGATAATATTGCTTGCTAGAAGGAAATACAGAGATTTTTAAGGTTTGTGATGTGTCCTCATGTGTTATATCACAGGCATAAAATTTCTTCCAAGTACACTGGGATGGACCAGCTCGTCACTCCAAAAGTGTCTTGTCTCACTGTTGCGAGACGTACCGCAGGCATTAATGGATGAGCCCACCCTGGTGTACTCTCAGCACTAATGGGATTCAAGGGTTATTAAGTGAAGTTGGGGGGTCCCAGAAGAAGTTGGAGGGAAGTTCAGGGGTGTACTGTATATATGATTGAAATACATTACATACATGTATGGAATTTAAAAAAAAATAAACGAAAAAATATAAACATACCGTAAGACCCCTGTCAAAAGTGGTGAGATGGGCACAGAATTCTGTTTCTTCTCCCTGTCAAATGCCATGAAAGTATAAACAAAAGAATCTTAAAACACGCAGCCCCAGTCCGGCCTCCACACACATTGTTGTGATTCCAACGCTAGGGCTGCCAAGGGGGGACTTCAAACGAACCCATGAGCTGGAAGAGGGCTTAAGCACCTTAGTGAGTCGTGGTCTCAGAAAGAAAGACTGTGTGAGCCGCCAGTGCCACAGAGGACACGAAACAGCCACAAAACATTGTCATCCTCAGAGGAAGAATGGCAGGGAAGGACACGGAAGTGCCCACAGAATCGGAAAGCAAACCTCTCACTCTGCAAGCCACAGGACACCAGGTGACCAGAAACAAACTAGGGAGGCAGCGGAGAAGGGGCAGGGAGCAAGCAGCTGGAAGTCTCCCTGTGAAAAGATAAACTCCCCAGATCCACAGAGCAGGCTGGTGACTCTTCATACCCCAGAGGAGAATGGCGGGACCAACTCGTGCGGAAAAGACAGCTGGAGACTCTGGACTTGACAGTCACTGCAAGCTTGAAGACAGGAAAATAGCTCATTGGTGAACAAGCCATGGGACCCAACTCTGAGAAAGGAAGAAAGGCGGGTAGCAGGAAGAGGTGGGTGGGAGAAGTTTTGGAGTCGTGTTTGACACAGTTTTCTCCCAGGCAGGAGCCAGAAGTGAAGTTTTTGGAGAAGAGGGGTGGAGAGATAGCCACAGGTGAAGGAGGATGTGTAATAGAAAAAATGAAGTAAAACTATGCATTGTGAGCCCTAAGCCAGGTCTGTCATCTGTCTGTCTCTCTCCATTTTTATTGGTGTTTATTATTTCCATTTTTATTTTTTATGAGTATGAGTGTTTTCCCTGTATGTACATCTTGCAGGCCTGGTGCCAGAAGAGGGCGCAGGACTCCTGGGACTGGACTTACAGGTGGATGTGGACCACCATGTGGGTGCTGGGAGTCTGTCTGGGTCCTCTGAAAGAGCAGCCAGTGCTCTGAGCTGCTAAGCCATCTCCCCATCTGTCACTGTTGTTTTCTGAGACCAGGATTCACTTTGTGGCACAGGCTGCAAATCCTGGGGTCCATTTTGTATTCCAGATTGTCCTCGAATTAAAGACAACTTTCCGGTCTCATCATCAGATCTAGGATTAGAGATGTCAGCAAACACGGATTTCAGCCAGCGCTTCTTCATGTTTGACACAATTTTCTCCCAGGCAGGGGCCAGCAGGATTCTTCCCTGAAATAAACTTCTGAAGCAAGAGAAAGTGCAGCACACTGCTAATATTTGGGCTCACAGTAGAACAGCCAGCTCTGCTCAGCTGCTACCCAGCCTGATCACAGACTCCCGCTTACTTCCTTGGTGATGAAGGTTTTATGCAGCAAACCTAAGATCGCCAGATATGCAACAGAAGTTATTTTGTTTGAAATAACAGAACAAAAGAGAGGGGACCAAGAGGGAACAGAAGAATGCAAGCAAAACAGAATTACAAAGAATGCACCTAAAGAGATCAGGGAATGGGGCACTATGATAAATGACCAGACGACACAGGAAACCATCCCGCTTGTACTAGTTACGTTTCTATCGATGCGATATACCATGGCCAAGAGACCTTATGAAACTGAGTTAAATTTGCCCTGCTTTTCCTATAGAGGAATTTTAATTCAGCAACGTGACTGCTCCGATCACATCCGAAGGCCTTCTAGGTCTGTGTAATCTGACTTGAAAGTGCTTCCACTTGGGTAGGAGGGTATCCTGGGACTCAGAATTCCAGAAACCACACAGTTCTGAGGGAAAAAGGTATTCCAGTGGAAGGGCATCCTGAGACTTGGAAGCCCAGGAACCACACAGCTCTGAGGTAGGACAGTTTCCTAAGGGAAGGATATCCTGAGACACAGGACGTCAGAAACAACATAACTTAGCAGAGGCGTTGCAGCTCCTGGGGGAGGGGATCTCCCAGCTCCTTCTCGTTCACTCTTCTCTGTATTGCTTGTTTTCTTCTCCTGGTGAGAGAGTCACACCAGGTAGCAAATCCCATGAAAAAGATTTATTGGAGAGTCCAGGGTTTGGAGGGATGAATCCAGGGCGGCTGCCCTCTGCTCCTGGGAGTGGACAGCAGGGAATTAGACAAAGGGGCAGTACTTATATAGGATTTCTGAGGGGGTGGAGCTTCTCAGGATAGAGATTTCCAGATTGAGGATTGGTGGGATTTCAAGTCCTGAGCTTGGGGAGATCAGGGATTGGTGGCTTTTTTTCATCACCCCCCTGCATTGGGCCCATGGATTATGGTGGGAAGTCCTTCCCAGCTACAGCAGGCTTTAGCGGAGGCGCCACCTCTGTGGGACCGCTAGGGGTCAGGAGAGAGGCTGGAGAGGACGTGCTGCCACAGTGGACAGCTCCTGTGGGCCAGCTCCTGCAGTGGTGTTTCACCAAGGCTGAGGCAGGAAAGAAGGTGTTGCTACCGAGGACAGCTCCTGTGACAGCGCTAGGCTGAGGAGGAGTCCTGGTGCTGCCGTTTCCACAAGAGCCATTTTTGACGGGTCCTGCAGGGCAGCTCACTTTGGAAATAGGTGGGCCAGAAAGGAAGGGCTAGCTTCAGCTTTGATGGATTTTGCAGAGCACTGCCTAGGGACTACAGGGCTGGAATGCAGACAGGCCCTTAGTACACACTTTTAATCCCTCTGACTGGAATCCTTTAGTACAGTTGATCCCAAACAATGAGCAGCAGCTGCGGGCTCTATGTCAGTCTACACGTTGGAGGCAGAGAGCATTGACTTGAAGTGGTATAAGTCCTTTAAAACTTCAAGGCCCACCCTGGAGGACTTCACTCCTTCAGCAAGGCCATACTTCCTAATCTTCCCCCAAAGTAACACCAACTGGGGAGCAAGGGTTCAAATTCTGGAGACTTAAAAGGAACATTTCAGCCAAGCCACCACAGTGCTTACGCATGAGAACACACTTACTAAAGGACTAAGGTTAATTGTGTTCATCTCTCCTATTTGGGCCCAGAACAAAGGCAAACACCCCCTCCTGGACAGCATGTAGCTACAGAGGACACTGGACAGGCACTGACTACCGTCAGTAGTTGACAGGCTGAAGGAAAAGCCTCCTGCCTCCGAATGACAAACTCATCTGGGCAGTTAATCACCATGTAAATATTTCAGACTGGACCATGAAAGAGCAAAGCCAGTCTCTCCTGATGTCTTTTGAAAGGAAAAAAAAAAAAAACCCGAGGAGGTGGAGAGACAACTTACCAGTTATAAACACCGACTACCTGGGAGTGAGATTCAATTCTCAACACCCATATGCAGCAAATAACTTTCTAAACTCCAGGAGATCTGCTACCCTATTCTGGATCCTGGGGACGTGAGGCATGTATGTGATACACAAACATAAATGCAGGAAAATACTTATAAACATAAAAATTGATTTAAATTTTAAAATTATCATTTCTCTGTGGTGTGTGTGTGTGCGTGCCCAGGGAGGTTTTTGGTATATGTTATATGGTAGGTAAGGATGTAGAACCGGTTAAGACTGTCACATTGATTTTTTTTTTCCAATATATAAACAATTTCCCCCAGACGCACCATTTCAGAGTAAAGAAAAATGACAACCTGTGCATTGAAAATCATTTAATGTAAACAAACAAACAAACAACAACAACAACAACAAAAAGCTGAGTGGTGGTGGCACACGCCTTTAATCCCAGCACTTGGGAGGGAGAGGCAGGCAGATTTCTGAGTTCAAGGCCAGCCTGGTCTACCGAGTGAGTTCTAGGACAGCCAGGGCTACACAGAAAGACTCTGTCTCGAAAAACAAAACAAAACAAAACAAAAAAAACAAAAAGAAAGAAAGAAAGAAAATCATTTAATGCTATTTGTCCTTTTTCACTATGAGATTAGATTTTCTCCTGTGGTTATTTGCTGACACAAGCTCATCTGTCCCAGAGTTACTTAGTATGCATGAAACTACTTAAGAAAGTTAAGGACGGGGCTGGAGAGATGGCTCAGCGGTTAAGAGCACTGACTGCTCTTCCAGAGGTCATGAGTTCAAATCCCAGCAACCACATGGTGGCTCACAACCATCCGTAATGAGACTGGATACCCTCTTCTGGTGTGTCTGAAGACAGCTACAGTATATTCATAAAATAAATAAATAAATAAATCTTTAAAAAAAAAAAAAAAAGAAAGTTAAGGACAAGCACAGCTCACTAGTCCCTCCTGAATACCTCATGAACATCCTCTCAAGGGTTTACACAGACTCACACATGAGCTGAGAATTTATTTTTTAAGCCGGATAAACAGTCCATCTCTAAGAAGATACTGTTTTGAAAGGTCACATGTTTCATGATAAGTTTCTGAGTTCAGGCAGTCTCAGTTCTCATCCACTGAGTGTCCTGTGCCCTCAAGTGCTGGGGTTACAAATGCATGTCACCAAACTCTGCTTTTTTGTTGCTGCTGGAGGTCAAATCATGATGACTCTTCCATCAGAACTATCTGTCCAGCTTCTATTTCATTTTATTTATTCATGATTGATTTTTGAAGTGTGAGCAAGGGACCTCTGGTTTATAGACAGGGCATTCTATCACCAAACTACACCATAAGCCTCATTAATGCCTTACTTGGCTAATTTTCATGGAGTTAACAATGGCTTCCTAACAGTAAAGGCAGTCTCCCCAGGTTCCTGATGCTTCCTCCAGTGTTATGGCTCCTGCACAGAATCTCTGCTCTTGCAGTAAGAGCAGAATGGTTGTTCGCTGTCACTGCAAACCCGGCTTGACTTACCACTGCAGGGTATCCCACAGGCATTGACTGCTCTTGGGGTTTTGCCATCATTACACCAGTATCGGCTATTGATCTGAAATATCCCATAGTTGGTGCTTTGGTCAGTAGAGTTGTAGTTTATAGCTTCTGTGTCAAAATTACTCTCATGCTGAGCCATACACAGCCCTAAAAAGAAAAAGAAATCTCTTATACTGGACAACAAAATCAGCTGTTTGAGCTGGCATGGTTGTAACTGTGTTGCTCAGGCTCTGGTCTCTAGTGATCCTCCTGCCTCTGCCCTTCTAGTAGGTAGAACTGCTGTGCCAAGTCAGAAAGGAATTTTCAAGTGTCCCAAACAGAACCCCTTTGAGGTTAAACCAGTTTCTACCAAGAATAAAGAAAAATTGGTATTCACACGTTTAAAGTGTTAAGTACTTCCTTTTCCTTTGGAAGAACTTGTTTTGAGGGGAGATTCACTTCTCCCCACAATGGCATGTGACTCTCCCCTCAACAGGCAGACTCTGAAAAGGAGGAGTTATCTGGCAGAGAATATCATTTCCCAGAAGCGTGCACAGCTTCTGTTGGACAAGATATTGTGAAACTCGGTTCGCTCCAACTTGTGGGAAAACAACAGGCAGCCCTGTGCTATCACAAATTAGCAAGTCATCTGATTATTGATAGAGATATGGATGGAATCCCAGAGTTGGAAATGGTGGAAACCACTGTTTGGCCAGGGTTTCTCTTGGAAATATGTGTCTGGGAGACTACATGTTGCACAAACTAAAACCTGTGCCGTTGACAGCACAGAATGCATACAACCCCAAAGAGATATGCCTTCTGCTTTGCCTAGGCTTCCTCAGTCTTCACAGCTTGAGTGAGTTCTAAAGGTCATTGTATTGAGGAAATCCCTGAACTGCCCTTGGTGGTTGGAGATAAAGTTGAAGGTTACAAGAAGATCAGGAAGCTACTTCTCTACTTAAGAAATGTCTCTCTGCCAATGAGAGTTTCACAGACGAAAACAAGACTCCAACATCCGTATCCAGTGCACCATCTACAATGAAGGCTGTGGCATCAGCTTGGCCTTCAGAAGCATCCCTGGTATTACTCTGCTTAATGGGATCAAGCTGGATATTTTGAAGACTGCTCCTAGTGGGCATGTGGGAGTTTTTGACCTTTATTTCCAGTGAGGAGTTGGCATTATAGTAAGTTTCAAAGTAACTCAAAAGTCCCTATAAAGTAACGATAACTTCCCATGCACAGGATGATGAACCTTAGCAGAATCATGAAAAACCCAGTGATCCAAAGATACTCTCGCCCAAGGTAACACATAGGAAGGTCCAAGCAAAGATTTGCACAGTACTATTCTTAGCCTGGCTAGAAGTCACAAACTCCAAGAAAGAAAGTGGAATCTGCAGCTCAAAGACAAATCAGAGCAGGGCAAGAAGTTGTGCTCTCTCCCCAGCCTTGAGCAGGCCTGAAAGACCTTGTTTACCACAATACACCAAATAATAGGACCTAGGTGGAGTTACCCACCTTTGGCTGCACATGCAACCTGCTACAGGAACTTAGAGGAATAAACTGCCAGCTGAGCTTGCCTTGAGACATCTCTGGCTGTGACAAAGGATGGGTTCCCCCACCCATCTCTGGCTGAAACAAGAAGGGGTTCGGTGGGGCTTTCCCTTTAAATTAGAAGAGCTGAATATTAAACTTCAAGCCTCTATCAGAAAACTTTGTCTTGGCTTCATGCTTTTCTCGCCTCTCCATCCTCTCTTTTTCATTTCTAGCCCCCCTTTCAGGTGAACCCAGTTTTTCTGTGGCTGAAGGCAGCTACAGGAAGTCAGTACGCAGCATGGAAAAAAAAAAAAAAAAAAGAGGCCTGGGAATGTCAAGAAGCTGAAAAAGCCCAGATAATGGGCTACAGCTACCAAGAAACCAGCATCTGAGAAGAAACCAGCAGAGAAGAAACTTGCCACAGAAGAAAAGAATATTGTTTCATACGCTATTAAAACCTGCTTCAGGGCCTAGAGAGATGGCTCAGTTGTTGAGAGCACTGACTGCTCTTCCAGAGGTCCTGAATTCAATCCCCAGCAACCACATGATGTCCCTCAAGCATCTATAATGTGATCTAAAGCCTTTTTCTGGCATGTAGGTATGCATGCAGATAGAACAATCGTATATATAAAATAAGTCTATCTTTAAAAAAAAAAACACCTGCCTCATTCTAAAATGAGCAAATAGAGACAGCCAGTATGAATAAAGATGTGATTGAAGATTAAAAAAATAATAAAGGTCAAAATAGACAAGGCCAACATGGTGCACACCTTTAGTCCCAGACAGAGGCGGGTAGGCAGACTCTTGGAATTTGAAGCCAGCCTATTCTAGACAAAAAGTTCCAGGCTAAACAGGGCTATATAGTGAGACTGTGTCTTAACAAAACAAAACAAACAAATAAAACCCCAAAACAACAAAATTAAAATAGCCACTTCTTCCTGGATTTACACTTTTCCTGCTCTCATTTTTTGAGATACCTCAGCCTAGAATAGGAAAAAAAAAGTGTTTAGTAGATTTTTTTTAATAAGTCTTTTTTAAAGAGTTATCTGTTTATTTTGTGTATGTCAGCACACTGTAGCTGACTTTGGACATACCAGAAGAGACCCCATTGCAGATGGTTGTGAGCCACAATGCGGTTGCTGGGAATTGAACTCAGGACCTCTGGAAGATCAATCAGTGCTCTTAACTGCTGAGCCATCTCTCCAGTCCCTGGGTTTTGTTGTTGTTGTTGTTGTTGTTGTTTGTTTGGTTTTGGTTTTGGTTTTTCGAGACAGGGTTTCTCTGTGCAGCCCTGGCTGTCCTGGAACTCACTCTGTAGACCAGGCTGGCCTCGAACTCAGAAATCCACCTGCCTCTGCCTCCCAAGTTCTGGGATTAAAGGCGTGCGCCACCACCGCCTGGCTTAGCCCCTGTTTAATAGATGTAATAACAATAGGAAATACATATGAAGATGAAAAATAATTTAATTAGAAAAATAAGGAACTGGAGAAATGGCTCAGTGGTTAAGAGCACTGACTGCTCTTCCAGAGGTCCTGAGTTCAAATCCCAGCAACCACATGGTGGCCCACAGCCATCTGTAATGGAATCCAACGCCCTCTTCTGGTGTGTCTGAAGACAGCTACAGTGTACTCATATACATAAAATAAATATATATCTTAAAAAATAAAAAAGCCGGGCAGTGGTGGCGCACACCTTTAATCCCAGCACTTTGGAGGCAGACGCAGGCGGATTTCTGAGTTCGAGGCCAGCCTGGTCTACAGAGTGAGTTCCAGGACAGCCAGGGCTACACAGAGAAACCCTGCCTCGAAAAACTGAAAAAAAAAATCTTCCATTAAATACTATTAGACTAAGAAAGGCTATTTTATGATTATATCCCTCCATCCATCCATTGTCCATCCACCCATCAATACATATACATATACATATATATATACTTGCTCACTGAAAGTTACAGAAATGCTCTGAAAAGCACACAGTAACCCTTGAACTTTAGTGTGAAACTAAAAGCCACCCCAGAGTGAAGAACACTACTAAGTCTCTTTATACTCAGTGTCTGAGGGCCTCATTTATACAGCAACAGGGGGCGAATAGGATCCCTCAGCCCTGTGTAGAAATGTCAAAAATTTAAAAATTTATCTCAAAAGTTGCACACCCTGGTAAGAGTAATGAAGACAAATATCATGTCACTCCAGGATCTCAGATCCCAAGTTCTGAATGACTGAGTCTCCCACCTGTTCTCAGACTCCTTTCTCATGGGCTGTTGAGTCTGAAGCAACTGGAAAACCCAGTGACAGTCCAAGAGCACCTCAGGTCCTACCGCCTTAGCGTGGCACACAATGTCACTTCCAAATGCTCACCTGAGCATCTCTGATTCGAATGACAAAAAATGATGCTTTAGTCAAATGAACTCAGTCACACAGGGAGCAAACATGACATCGTGTGCTGCAGCTCCCTCTCTGGTCCCTCAGTGCTCCCTTGTCCCTGTTCTGAAAGCTTAGCTGGAGGCATCAGGAAGAAGAGACTTACAGTCTGCCAGGCTGACTCCACCGTAGCCAGCCATTCCATTGCTTTTCAGAGTTCTGGAAAACTCACAGTGTTCATAGACCTTGGCCTCCACAGAGACAGAAAGCAGGAGGAGCCCCAGCGTCAGGAGAGCCTTCATGGTGGCAGGTAGCTGGATGAGCTGCTGGCTGACTAGAGAAAGCATACCTGCTATTTAAGCATCCTCCAAGTTCCTACCTTCTTCTATTGGGGCCTCTCTAAATGTGATCACCTCACAGACCAGGCAGCCCCACTTTTCCTGTAGCTTGGATCACTAGTCCTCTTTAGGTGTAACAATATAAGATAAATAATCCTTCTTTATCTCTGCCCTTGCCAGCACAGCCAGCTCGGATGTCTGCCCACACACTTCTCAAGGTATGGCCTCTTTTCTGACAGTAAAACCATGTATTTTAGAACATCCACTCCCTCAGGAAAAGGACTGCTAGTTCCTTGTAAAAATAAGAAGTTCTGTCTGTTCCCCTTCACTTGTCCTTCTGTCTGGCCCTGAGATGGAGTTCCTGTTGTGATGGCCACCATTAGCAAAAGGACCTGCTTACCTGGAACCCATCTCACCACCCGTCTTTGTCAATCATCATCCTTATATAAGAGCTATCACTACAGGCCATTGAAGTGGAAACTTCTGGTTTCTTTGGAAAGTCAGTTTTGGCCGGGCAGTGGTGGCACACGCCTTTAATCCCAGCACTTGGGAGGCAGAGGCAGGCGGATCTCTGAGTTTGAGAGTTTGAGGCTAGCCTGGTCTACAGAGTGAGTTCCAGGACAGCCAGGGCTACACAGAGAAACCCTGTCTCGAAAAACCAAACCAAAAAAAAAAAAGGAAAGAAGTCAGTTATGTCAGATGATGTTTTGCTGGGGCACATGGGTGAAAGAATATTTTGCTAAACCAGACAGGTGAAAGAATGCTTTGCTGAGGCAGACACAAGTAAAAAGATATTTCGCTGTAGCAGACAAGTAAAAAGACATGTGATGTTTAGAAGGAATATAGATATGACCTCACAGACAGTGGGAGGTCAAGCATTGGTTTGCTTGTTCGACCTCACTATTCTTTGCTGATAACACACATGCATTGGTTCACCTTACATTGCATTGCTGAGCTTCACTGCTGTGACATTATGGAGAAAAACTCACCAAAGAACTTCTCATGAGGTTCCTGCAGCTTCTAGCTGCTTCTGCAGACCCAGGCTGGTTGATGAGCCTCAAGGTTTCCTGGATTGAACTGATGTTGCTGATTTGTGTGTGGTGTCTGCCAAGTAGACTGGACTGCAGCTGCTGATTCATGTTTGATGTTTGTTAGTGGACTGGACAGAGAACAACGAAGATTGGAATTCTCCCAAAGAACTATCTCTAAACAGGTCCACTTCCCTGTATCCTAATAAGCTTTCATTACCACTACCTCTGGTGGATGGTGGGCTTGAGGGGAGGTTTAACCCATATTAAAATAGGCTGTGAAAAATATATGCCATTAGGCCCTGGCTAGGTGCCAGGAAGAGAGGGGAAAGATACAAGAACCTGCTAGCTTAAAGTAATAAAGGGCAAAGTAAGGATTAGAGGAAATCGTTCTTTCTGTGGCCCTCCGGTGAAACACCAGTGGGGTTTCCATACATGAAATAGGTGGGACAGACAAATGAAATGAGCAGACAGTGGAAGGGAAGGCACAAGGAGAGTAATTTATCTAATTTTCTCTGAGAAAAAGTTTCAACTGCAGAGACACTGGTTACCAAAAAGCCAGAAAGTGGTCATCAATCTTCAAATGAAAACACACTGGTCTTGAATTTGGCACACCCAAATTTTGTGCTGGTTCCTAGCAACCCAGGCATTACAGGGACCATTAGAATGCCACCTGTGGGTTAGGGCTAAGTCCTTCTGGTTGTTCCCACAAGAAGTCATCTAACCCAGGAAGCAGAAAGCAGCTACAACAGGTGATTGTTGTCCCTGAATACTGCAATGAGGGAGTGGAATGCAGGGCCTCCTGTGGCAGAGTATGCCTTTAATCTCAGCACTCCAAAGACAGAGGCAAGTGGATCACTATGTATGAGTTTGAGGCCAGCCTGGTCTACAGAATGAGTTCCAGGACAGCCAGGGCTACACAGTGAAACCATGTCTCAAAAAAAAACAAACAAACAAAAAAAAACGGGCTGGAGAGATGGCTCAGCGGTTAAGAGCACTGACTGCTCTTCCAGAGGTCCTGAGTTCAAATTCCAGCAATCACATGATGGCTCACAACCATCCATAATGAGATTCGATGTCCTCTTCTGGTGTGTCTGAAGACAGCTACAGTGTACTCATAAATAAAATAAATAAATCTTAAAAAAAAAAAACAAACTAGGAATGAACCTGTTCATTGTGAATGGAGATTTCAGGCCATTTTTCTAATTTATCAATCTTGTCTCTGAGTGGGGCGGTGGTAATGGTCCTTTTGAATAAACCAACCAACAAACAAAAAGCCACCATTCCCTGTGCAGGAATTTCCAAGTTTCTCAAGAAGCTACAGTTAACACCCCCCAACACCCACCCCCAAGAAACCAACACAGGGAAAACTCAGACTAGATCTAGTCTGTGCCTGAGATGGACATTGAGTGTCTAGTGCTGAGCTGAGGTCGTAACTCAGTAGGCTTCTCTCCTGAGCTCACTGGTTCCTAACACATCAATGCATGCTTTCTCAGTTTCCCCAGTAGCTGTGCTCCCTTCAGGTGGCTTTTTGCCATTGCCCTGAGCCTCATGTAAAAGTGAGTTGTAGAACATCTCTTAGCTCTCCTATAAAATGTGTTCCTAATGCATTTTGAATGTATAATATAACTTATATTATTTCTTCCAGTCATTTTTTATAGCATTATATTGCAGCATCAAGCTTGTGCCATGGATGTGATTTTTCTTTATCTCTGAAATATACATTATGGGTCATGCTTCATCTTTTGTTTCCTGAGTTCCTGTTGTCTGAGTTCTCCTTTCTAAACGCTTGCTTCGACCTGTCTTTCATACTAATGGCTTTTGGAAAGTATGTGACAGTTTTTGGTTGATTTTATATAGCCTTAAACACTGAGAGGCTAAATGGAAGACCTATGACCTGAGTAGGTCACATCAGAGGCAAATGAGTGGAGCTAGCCATTGGCAGTCGCAGGCATTAGCATCACTGGTCTTTTCTCCCCCTCGAGATGATTGTATTGAGTCCTGCTTAGAGGTAACTATGACGGGCAACAGTTAAGTTGCTCCAGAGGGGCATGTTGGAAAGGATCCTAGCTCAGGGCTCAGAATGCAGGTTTTTATTTTATCCCCCCGTTTGGATTATGGCACCATAACTCTGATTTTAGCCGCCCTGCCTCTCTGTACTGGTGTTTCTTTGTATGGGAGAATGTGAACAAAGGTCTACTGACCCGTATTCGGTACCGACAATAGATCAAAGTAACAATTCACCCACATTCAGCTCACTGAACCAATGAGAATACTGAGTTTACTTACAGAATGTAAATAAGAGAACACTTACAGAATCACAAATAACCTAAAACATCCAGCTGCATCACTGCAGTCCATCCCCGTCGTAAAGGACCACATCACAGAAGCTGCGTCATGGAGTTTCCCCTGTCAGCAAACATGTATTATATCCAAGCATCACCCAAGATCACCAGCAGTTGGGAGAGAGCAGAAGGGAATGATGGTTAGAATCCATGATGAGGCTCCCAGCTTCTCCCTTCCTCTACCTTCTAAGAAATATTGACAATTCTATTATCACTGCCTGGCTGTTCTGTACTATTCTACTCCACCCATTGCCAAGGCTAACAAATATATTCTCTATACCAAGATAACGATCGTTTTCTGCTTGGAGGAGAAAGCCACACTACAGCAGCCTGGGAACTACATGTGCTAGAATGTACTCTACCAACCAAGCTACAACCCGGCTCCTCAGCCGTGCCTCGAGTGTCCACTTCATTCTCTCCAAAGAGTGACTATCCCATTCTTCCTCTGGGGCTCAGAAGAGCCAGCAGCCTCTTCTCCCTCCCGGAAAAGAAGATGGTGGCATATAAATGACTTCACAGACAGACCTCTAACCTATCCTGCTGTCCATGGGCTACCTCCAGATTCTCTGTTTTCCAAGTTGTAGGGCAAGATCCATACTGCTCTGCCAGTTTCTCCCTCTGTGGGCACTTGGGGATTTGTTTCCCCACATCTGGTATTGCTGTTCTTCCTATGGGCTACATCTCGTGTGTGTGTGTGTGTGTGTGTGTGTGTGTGTGTGTGTATGTGTGTGTGTGTTTTCATTGTTATTGATTTTCCTGAGTATTTTTAGGTAAACTGGAAGAGTTAGAGCACTGTGTCCAGTGCACTTCTTCTAACAAGGTTCTGAGTATGCCCCGGCCTGTGGGGTCTTGGACAGGGTACCCTAAAAGAAAAGGGGAGAGAATTGAAGGGACAGGAGATGCAAAGAACAGGACTAAGACAAATTTTCTGATCAAGGTCCATCGAACTGTATTTTCTCAGGCAATTTATACAGGCAGGGAAGGGGATGTGTTTGGGGGAATTTCATAGAAGCTGGGCGTTCTCCTCCCTTTTTATTTAATTTGCATGAGTTTTGGGTTAAAAGGCATGTGCCGCCACTGCCTGGCTTAATTTGTTATTTTATAAAGCCAGTTAGTCTATTAAAGGCCCAAGGGCTGAAAGCCAAAAGGAGAAGGACACCAACTACAGGACCCAGGATGGGAGGGAAAAGTTTCTTTTTGCAATATTAGAATATAACCATAATTTTGGGAAACAAAACCAATTTTTAACAATACAAACAGCCGGGCGGTGGTGGCGCATGCCTTTAATCCCAGCACTTGGGAGGCAGAGGCAGGTGGATTTCTGAGTTCCAGAGTTGGAGGCCAGCCTGGTCTACAGAGTGAGTTACAGAACAGCCAGGGCTACACAGAGAAACCCTGTCTAAAAAAAAAAAAAAAAAAAAAATGCAAACAATCTATTTTTCTAAAATCAACACCACGTGCATTACCTTTCATCTTATCAAGTTTGGCTGTCAGTTCTTATATATGAATGTATGATAGTGCAGCTTTTAATACCTCATTATAGAGACATTGTTTTAAATCCCATCTTTGTACATCTTATCTCTGAATGCCTCCAGCCCTGGGTTACCAGTTTTAAGCTAGCTTTCTGTTACCGAAGTTATAATTTTTTTTTTTTTTTTGGTTTTTCGAGACAGGGTTTCTCTGTGTAGCCCTGGCTGTCCTGGAACTCAATCTGTAGACCAGGCTGGCCTCGAACTCAGAAATTTGCCTGCCTCTGTCTCCCAAGTGCTGGGATTCAAGGCGTGCGCCACCACTGCCCCGCAAGTTATCATTTTTTAATCATACCCAATAACTTATAGACCAATAATCTATAACCAAGACATGCAGAACATATTTATACTTTTAAAACCAGTCAGAAACAAAAATGAAGTGGCTACACATTTTATATATTTAGACTAAACAAAATTTTCTTACTTTTTCTAGCTGTTATTTCAAGAGAAAAGTACCTTGTCACTTGTTGAACCCAAAAAAACAGTCACAGAGATTTTTCTAGGAAAAACAACCATCAGGTTCATTATAGTAGAAACTAAAAAGCCGATGGCCCCTTTAAAAGCAGCTTATGTAAACAATCAGCTCCAGGCAGCGCTTCTCCAGCTCAGCTTGACTCTTAGTTACAGGTGCAGGGTAACTTATCAAAAGGCATAGATTCTACAAAAGGCAAGTGAGCTCCCTGCTCTCAATTGTGTGTGCTTGCTGTTTTATTTTTAAGTCATTTACTCACTATTTCAAACAAAGCAGAAATTATAACTGAATAGTGTCACTACCTGCACTGTGAGAAATAACTTTTGAGATTAGATTCACCCCTGCTCTCTGAAATAGTCCCATTGAATGGTTGATAGCATCTTGGCTCTGGATGCTAAGCAAATATTTTCTTATTCCATCCCAGAAGGTCAAGTTCATTCTTGTTTAAATGTTTGAGGTAAAATAAAAATGAACAAAGCCGTACAGATAACAATGATATGATCTTGTGCACTGGGTTAGGAAGGGCACAAAGGCGATCAGCCAGTGAACTTTATCTGGTTTCTGTCATTTTGAATGCCCCAAAGCCATCTTAGTATTTATTTTCAAAATCAACCTGAAAAAAAAAAAGTGGCATTGATTGTGATGTGCAAATAATGACTTGGAGCCAAAACTAGTATTCTCTTATATTTTTTTTGGTTGTGATCTTAGCCTTTAACAGCTGAGACATCTCTCCATCCCACAAACTGGCATTCTCTAGGGCCAAGCAGGGGGCATCTCCCATGGTTGGAGACTAGAACTAACTATAAAATTGGTATTTTGTATGGCTCCAGAGCTTCCTTCTGAGGCAAATCCTGGGCATGGTTATTTAGGGGTTTCTGGCCGTGTTAAAGAATGTACACAGCTCCCCAAGTTGGTGGCTTCTGAAGGCAATGCTCGGCTGCTTGTGTTTGTTTCGGTCCCTTGAATTTTCAAAGTCCCATTGCAAACCTTTTACGTTCTAACATGAAAATGCATTTGGGAAGAGGGAGACAAGACTCTGTGCATAAGATATTTGGAAAGTTGTTTACATGTGCTCTATTTATACTTAAAGCTATTGTTTTATGGGTCCAGGTCCAAAATGGCGACAGCGATAGTACCTAGGTTTCTTGACTGTTAGGTGTATCTTCTTGACTTACCTAGGAGGCCTCGGCTCTGATACAGAAGGCCCTCATATCTCCTCCCTCACACTGCCCTGAGGGGTGAGCATGCTGAGGCTCTTCCTGAAGTTACACTGTTGAGAACACAAGGGATCCAAGTACATCACTATTTCTATCTCTGCATCAGGACCAGGCTTGTTGACTTGTTTCTCTCTCTCTCTCTCTCTCTCTCTCTCTCTCTCTCTCTCCTCTCTCTCTCTGTCTCTCTTTCATAACTTCCATGTGACTCCACTTCACCCAGCTACAAAGATGAATAGAGAGAACCCCAGCTTGACCCCCAGCACTGGTTCACGCTATTATCGCTCTTGGTGTAAACCAGAAAGCATACAGGGCTTTACTCTCACCTTGGCTTATATCGAATGGTGACCAGTCTACTGATTTTCTGTCCCTTTGCTTATGCTAGGAGATGACATAAATAAGCAACTTAAAAAACCAAACACCTCTTTGCTGGGCCTGGTATCATATGTCTTTAATACCGACATTCAGGAGGTGGAAGAGTTCAAGGACACCTTGGTCTACATAGCAGTTTCCAGACCAGCCAGAGTTTCACAGTGACACCCTGTCTCAGAAAAACAAAAACAAAAAACAAAACACAACCAAAGTGCCGATTTACAACAATTCAAAATTTATAATACAATCAAGAAAGTCTAGAAAAGGAAACTGACAAAGCAGAGTCATAGCACACTAAATACTTAGAGATTCATTTCGAGGGAAGGCCTGCGTAAGATGTTAAGTGAAAAAGACGAATGCAAAATGGCAAATGCACACAAAGCAATTTCATTTTCAAAGACCGTTGATTTGCAATCACACTGTATTCTAAGCAGTGAAACGTCACCGCTTTGTTTCTCTTTCTATTGCTGACGTTCAAGATGAAGCAGAACGAGCTTCTCGCTATGGAAGCAGGGCTAGCTCCCGGTTCTTGGTGAGCCAAGACTTTGAACGATATCATTTCATCGTTCTCTCTATATCAGAATATCTCAGTTCAAACACTGGGGGAAAAATGCTTTTGAAGTCTGTGGATCAATAAGAACTTCCTGCTTTGCATGAAGCTCAAAAGGTAGAGTCCCCAAACCAGTAGAGGATGAAGGGGGTTAAGAGATACTTAAATACTGGGGCCTGATTGCTCTGGGCAGTTTCGGAGGTGGTTCCCAGGCAACATGAAAGTTCTCCTGACTCTCCTTACTCTGTGGCTCCTCCTGCTCTCCATCACGGTCCAGGGCAAGGTCTTTAACCAGTGTGCTATGGTCAGAAGTCTAAGAAGACTTGGACTAGCTGACTTCCAAGGAATCAGCCTGGCAAACTGTGAGTGTCCTCGGCTTTCTACCTTCTGAGAAATGCCACTACAGAACATGCCTGGGGAGGAATGATCGATCAGAAAGGGGGTGCTGAGCGTAAAAGAAACGGAGGAGACACTATTTTAGTAATTTCAGAAACACCTTACCTTGCTTATTATCACAAAAATTACTTACATTACAAAAACATTCTCCCAGGGCCCCTTAAAGCTAAGGTTTGACCGGGCGGTTGTGGCGCACGCCTTTAATTCCAGCCCTTGGGAGGCAGAGGAAGGCGGATTACTGAATTTGAGAGTTCGAGGCTAGCCTGGTCTACAGAGTGAGTTCCAGGACAGCCAGGGCTATACAGAGAAACCCTGTCTTGAAAAAACAAAAACAAAACAAAGGTTTTGACCCACAAATGGAGGCCCTCAACTGTAATCTCAACTACTCAAAGAGGCCAAGGTAGAAAGTTAACTGGCGTCCAGGAAAGTAGCCAGGGAAACACACTGAGCAAAAGAGAAGCCAGCTCACTGGTTAAACTGGTAAACACACTTGCCACAGAAGCCCAGTGTACTGAGTATGAGCCCTAGAACCCAGGTAACGGTAGGAGGAGAGAGCTGACTCCAAAGCTGTCCACTAGCCACTATATTTCTCTCTCTCTCTCTCTCTCTCTCTCTCTCTCTCTCTCTCTCTCACACACACACACACACACACACACACACACACAAACTTGAAAACCTAGCAAAAAACACTAAAGTATTCTTTTTTTTCTTGCTTTTTTTTTTTTTTTTTTTTTTTTTTTTTTTTTTTGAAAAGGGGTTTTTTTTTAGCCCCCGCTGTCGTGGAACTCACTCTGTAGACCAGGCTGGCCTCGAACTCAGAGATCCGCCTGCCTCTGCCTCCCGAGTGCTGGGATTAAAGGTGTGCGCCACCACCGCCCGGCTGACACTAAAGTATTAAGACATGTTATAAGTTACTATATCTCTAGACTTACAAAGCAAGTTATTCATAAACGTACCATCGGCTACCTAAAGGATGAACAGAGTACTTCATTTGAACTTACTACTTATTAATAAAATAATTTCTTCTCAGGGACGTGTTTGGTCAAATCGGAGAGTGGTTATAACACACAAGCTACAAGATTCCATATTAAAGACCAAAGCACCAGCTATGGGATATTTCAGATCAGTAGCCGATACTGGTGTAATGACGGCAAAACCCCAGGAGCAACGAATTTCTGTCGGATATCCTGCAGAGGTAAGACAAGAGGATACTGTAAGATATCACCGGACTCTCTGGTGATGCTTACAAGAAAGACATTCAGTACCGATGGCAGTTTAACTTTGGGTTCATCACAGACCTAGAAGCATACCATCTTAACCTCTAAGTAGCAATTATTGTCCCCCAAAATTTCCCCCCAAGTAAGAACTGAGGGCCTGGTGACACTCACGTGGAGCCTTGACTTGTTTTCTTGAAATCCTGAGTGCTGTCCTCAGTCAAGGAAAAAAAAATGAACAAACCCTTGGTATCATAAAACGATGGTGATTTAACACTCAGATGTTTCTGGGATGATTTTATGAATGTGTTCTAAATGGCCTAATTACTCTTATTACCCTTTGGTTTAGAATAACACATTAATAAAGAAATCCTCAGCTGGGCGGTGGTGGCGCACGCCTTTAATCCCAGCACTGGGGAGGCAGAGGCAGGTGGATTTCTGAGTTCGAGAGTTTGAGGCTAGCCTGGTCTACAGAGTGAGTTCCAGGACAGCCAGAGCTAAACAGAGAAACCCTGTCTTGAAAAACCAAAAAAAAAAAAAAAAAGGAAAGAAATCCTCCTATTCCCTTAGGGGTAGTTCAGGGATAAATTGACTCTATGTCCTTTTATGTCAAATGCTCATAAAACACAGAAAATTAGATATTAGTATAATAAATGTCCATGTGACTACAGATTTTAAATAATTCTTAATATTTTGCCTTGAGCAGTTTTAAAGTGAATTCAAAACATTTCCAATTTTATTTCTAAGTTCTTTAGTTTGTATTTAAAAAAAAAAAACCATTCTACTTGATAATGGTTGTCACCCCTGGAAAATTAAAGTATGGTTTTGTAGATTTGAGAAACTGACTTTTTCTTGTAAGAAAAACAACAACCACAGTCCAGGGATGTTAACCCTGATGCATATTGGAAAGAAAGTACCTGAGCCTGTTAGCTCCCGAAATACACATCAGCACTGACATTGTTAAATATTTAAATGTTCAAATCAAACAGTCGTTAAATGATTAAATGTTAAAATTACCAGAAGAGAACATTCAATTTTAAATCTTGTTAATGTGCTTTTGGGACATGTAGCATTGTACAATAATCTACAATAAATACAGATATAAGGATCAAGTTTCTAACAAAAGAAAATGTAGCAGTTACAAGATAATTTTTTTCCTTTTTCTTTCTTTTTTTTTTTTAAAGATTTATTTATTTATTTATGAGTACACTGTAGCTGTCTTCAGACACACCAGAAGAGGGCATCCAATCTCATTACGGATGGTTGTGAGCCACCATGTGGTTGCTGGGATTTGAACTCAGGACCTCTGGAAGAGCAGTCAGTGCTCTTAACCGCTGAGCCATCTCTCCAGCCCCCTCTTTTTTTTTTTTTTAAGGCTTATTTATGTATTCACCATTGCTCTCTTCACACACACCAGAAGAGGGCATCAGACTCCGTTACAGATGGTTGTGAGCCACCATGTGGTTGCTGGGAACTGAACTCAGGACCTCTGGAAGAACAGTCAGTGCTCTTAACCGCTGAGCCATCTCTCCAGCCCCTGTAATTATCACTTTTAACTCGTGAATAAAATTCCACTGTATGTTTACTCTGTTGTCTGCTGGCCAGGCTATTAGAGTTAAGCACTAAAGTTACTCTCATTTTTCCCTTTTATAAATTACTTCAGACAGTGTGACGCATATATATGTTCAAGTACTTTTCATACTATTTCTTTTTTAAATTTAGACTTATTTGTGTGTACAAATGGTTTCTCTGCACATATGTGTGTGCGCTGCATGGATGCCTGGTGTCCAAGGAAGTCAGAAGGCGGCAGCGGATCGCCCTGAAACTGCAGCTCTAGATGGCTGTGGGTTGTGAGCCACCATGTGGGCGCTTGGAGTGCATCCTCATCCTCTGCAAGAGCAACAAATGCTCTTAACCGCTGCCTCATCTCGCTATTAGCTCTCTAAGATAAACTTTCATTGCAGAAATTCTGAGTGGAAAGTTATAAGGATGTTTTACGTTAGGGTGAAGTACAAAGAGACGCTTCCATGTTGGTTAGAAATTCCGGAACTTCCAGTGGCTTTATTACCTGGCAAAGAGAATGTCCTGATAAAAGGGACAGTATAAAGAAAAGCGTGCCTCCGACAGTCACAGGATGACAGACTTTGGAGATTGTGTATTGGTGTGCTTGCTCCGTGAGCAAAGCTGACGAAATCTAAACTGAAAACGCATTTCCTGTGCCAGCTCTTTCATTCCCCACCTCTCTCCTCTAGCTTTGCTGAGGAATAACATCAAGCCTGCCGTAACTTGTGTAAAGAAGATCGTGAAGAATAAACGAGGAATTACTTCATGGTATGGTTTCATTGTTAAAGGGGAAAACTAGGCAGGGCGGGGGTGGCATACTCCTTTAACCCAGCACTCCAGAGGCAGACGCAGGCAGGTCTCTGAATTTGAGGCCAAGCCTGGGCTACAGAGTGAGTTCCAGGACAGCCAGGGCTACACAGAGAAACCCTGTCTGGGGAGTTTGGGGGAGGGGACGGGGACGGACTGCTTTAAGCTCCCCTCTTCCGCTGACACCATCTAAGAGCAGACACTGGAAGGCCAGTGTCTATCTATGAACAACAACAACAAAAAAAAATGGCAGTTCTTGGCTTCAGTGAAACAACACACTCCTTCCATCGTGTAAGAAACTCGGAATCTCACACTTCTATTCCTAGAGTTATTTTAGGATACTCTGAGAGTTCCCACATTCAAGGGCTGAGGAGATAACTCAGTAAACATGTTGGCTTCACAAGCGTGAAAACCTGAAATTGCTTCCCAAACCCCATAGACAGTGTAGCCAACTGGGCGAGCTCCAGGTCCAGCAAAAGACCCTGCCTCAAAAAAAAACCCTGAGATTCTCCTCTGTCCTCTGAACACATGGTGGGCATGCACAACCACACAGACACACACACACACACAAAAACACACACATTTCCCACACTACTACTTCTTTGCTATATCTTTAAACTATTTGTCCATAAGTAAATGTAATGCAGAACTCAACACTGTTTCCTGTTCTGCGCTCTACCGAGGATGTCGGGAAGAGCAATCCACTCGTGCACACACCGAGTTATTGCTTTCTGGATGTACTTGTAGCTTGTGTTGGATTGTTTGTATATTATTTTGGCTCTGGAGAGTTTTGAAGTGTGCGTGTCATAAAGAAGATCGATTTGAACCATTTCCTGTTTCCTTTTCTTTCCAGGGAGAACTGGAGAAAAAACTGTCAAAACAAAAATCTGGCTCAGTACGTTCAGGGCTGCAGAGTGTAACTGTTTCCTTGTTCCGATCATCTGGCTTCTTTTTCAGAGCACGGTAAACAGTTAAGTAAAAGGTCACCCTGCTGCAGTTCCCCTTCAGACAAAGTGGAATTGCACCCAAGCAAGAGCTGGAACAAATGATCCTGAGATGCTTCCTGTTAACTGGTTTCTCTGTGTAGCCCTGGCTGTCCTCGAACTCACTCTGTAACCCAGGCTGGCCTTGAACTCAGAGATCTGCCTGCCTCTGCCTCCTGAGTGCCGGTCTTAAAGGTGCAGCAGCAGCAGCCACCGCCGCGCCACCACCACCACCTAACCAGCTAACTAGTGTGATTATCATTTGATGTTAAGCCTAGATTTTTTTCAGCTTGTGAATGAAACTGAAGTAGGAGAGGTCCTTGATTTTCATATGCTTCTCTAACATTCCATTCTCCTTCAACAAAGGAACTCAGGCTTAATCAAGAATAATGAAACTATTCCCCAAACACACGCACGCGCACGCACGCACGCACGCACGCACGCACACATGCTGGCACGCAATCATTTTAGGCAAAAGCCCCAGATATGGTGGTATTTGATACCTTCGACTGTTCAAACTACTCCAAAAACTTTAAAGTTGCCCACTCTTTTGGGTAAGACATAGATTGCAAAGGTGACTTCCAAATGGCTGACATCAGGAGACTTATATTAGACATTTGTTTTCCTGTACTGACCTTTGGCTACAGCTTTTGCCCCAAGTGCTTCATTTGTATCGCTTCACAAATAAATTCACAAATTGCACTCTGCTCGTGACAGTCTGCTCTACCCTCGAGTGAATCTTCCTGTGCATCTTACTGGCTGTGAGGGGATTCAGGAAGGAACAATGAGCCGGTCTGTCCTGAATTTTCTTAAACTTACATTCAGACATATCATCCAAATCTGAGATAGATGAGTTTGCATTGGTAACTGACAACAGCTGTAAAATTATTCAAATATAAAAAGTACACCTATTACCATTAGTGGATTTGCAGTGCATGTACTGTCTATCACCATTACACCCCTCTAGTGTCCATGGAGAAATAAGGACATATAATATATAAGTGTATATATGATATTTTTAATTTCTTCTGGATCCTCACCAAATGTTAATAGCTAGATACTGATGTAGGAAAAGCAGTGGTGTGCTAGAGTGCTTGTTTTTCAGTTGCCATGATAAACACTATGGCCAAAAGCAAACTGGGGAAGAAAGGGATCCCTCAGAAAACAGTTCATCACTGAGAGAAGCTGGGAGCGGGGGTGTGAGTGAGGGTAGGGGAGTTAGGGGGGTTGGGGGAGAAACTAAAGCAGAAGCAAAGAGAGGGTCCACAGAGGAAAGCTGCTCTCAGCTCAAGCTAGTTACCTTCCTAACACAGTGAAAGCCACCACACAGGACTGGATCCTCCTACACAAATTATCAATCAGGGAAATGTCCCCACTGACATGGCACAGGTCAATCTGGTGATGGCAATTCTTCACTCGCGGGACTATCAAAGTTAGCCATCACACACATTAACAAATCTGGCAGTAAAGATACAGATGCAAGCTGGGCAGTGGTGGCCCACATATGCCTTTAATTCCAGCACTTGGGAGACAGAGTCAGAGCTCTGAGTTCTAGGGCAGCCTGGACTAAAGAGAGAGTTCCAAGACAGTCAGGTCCACACAGAGAAACCCTTGGAGAAAAACAAAGCAAACAAAATACGAAACAGTTATCAGCAAATAAATATGCAAAAAAAGGAACATTGGAAAAATTATAATTTATTACTTGACTAGATTTTTACAAACATTTGATATGTAAAAGCTACGTTAGATTCTTATAGACATTTGAGATATGAAAACTGTCATTATTTCCTTTTCCTTTGTCTCTGAATGTTCTAGATTGTCAGCGAGAACTCACTTTTTACCTTTTGCGATTTCTCTTGATCTCTCTAATCTCTCCAGCGCCCAGCGCCATCAGGCACCCAGAGTATTTGTTAGCTTTCTAGAAGTTCACCCAGAGTCCAGTCTACAGTGGCTTTTCAGTTTTTGTTATATATTTACTGGAGAGGTGCACGTGTGCCACGGTGCGCATGAGGAGGTGAGAACGACTTTTAGGAGCCGGTTCTCTCTGCCCACCATGTGAGCCTCAGGATCAAACCCAGGTCATCAGATTTGGCAGCAAACACCTTTACCCACTGAGTCACAGGAGCAGCCCTGAAGCGGCTTCTAAGAAAGATTTTGATCCTGTTACCCCTAATTTAAAATTTGTGACTAGTTTCCCATTATCTCCAAGGATGAAGTTCTAAATCCCAGCCACGCTGAGGTTAGCAGCCTGCACCTTCCAGCCTAATTTCTTCCCATTTGTCAGCGGATATCTCTGCACTTCATTGAACGTCTTGCCTCTTGCCTCTGGCCTTCACGGTCTGAAAAACTTTCCATCCCACGTGGCCCCAATTCCCACAGCTCTCTGCTTTGACTATCTTCAGCTCATCATCCGGGCCACAGGTGGAACCTGTCACGCAGGATTGTCACCTGTCTGCCCCTGACTCTCTCACACACTTCTGCTCTGGAGTTCTGTACGACTCAAGTCGCTCAGAGCCATGGCATGCTTTCCGTAAAGGCTCTGAGCGGGAGAATAAGGACCACACAGAACTGTCTAGCAGATAGTAGCTGCTAGATAAACACCCTGACAAGGGTTTCTAACCAGAACACAGGTCTGTGACTCACAAGGAAGACAGTGACTCGAGGAAGACTGTTAAAACAGTTAAGAGGCTGGACAGATGACCAGTGGATAAGAGCACTTGCTGTTCGCGCAGAGGACTTGGGGGTCAGTTCCCGACACCCACATGGTGGCTCACAACCAGCTGTGATTCCTGTTCCAGGGGATCTCACACCGTCTTTCGACATCTAAGGTACTGTGCATGAAAATGGTACCCATACCATTTTTACACACACACAGGCACACGCACACACATGCGTGCATACACACACACACATAATAAAAGTAAATACTTTAAAAAAGAATGAGCAAATATGTTTAGGACTATATATGTATGTGTATACTAACAATTTTTTTTTTTTTTTTTTTTGGTTTTTCGAGACAGGGCTTCTCTGTGTAGCCCTGGCTGTCCTGGAACTCACTCTGTAGACCAGGCTGGCCTCGAACTCAGAAATCCGCCTGCCTCTGCCTCCCAAGTGCTGGGACTAAAGGCGTGCGCCACCACCGCCCGGCGTATACTAACAATTAAGGCATGTAATAACAATTACTGGGAAAAAGAAGAGGCCATAAATTTGAAAGAGGGCAAGGAGGGGTATATGAAAGTGTTTAGAGAGAGAAAAAAGAAGAGGGGAAAGAAATTTTTATTTATTTATTTTATTTATTTTTAAATGTCTAACAAAAAAAAATCTACTTAAGAGTGCCAGATGGAGTGTTGTACCTCCTTAATCCCAGCACCTGGGAGGCAGAGACAGGCAGATCTCTGAGTTCAAGGCCACCCTGATCTATAAAGTTCCAGGACAGCCAGGGCTACACGGAGAAACACCATCTTGCAAAACAAAACAAAATCTAGTTAAGAGATTAAAACCAAGGATGCCTTCCACAAAAAATATCTTACACTTAAATATGGCGGTAGACATGTCTCAACATTCTTCTGCAGAGATGTGCTTATCTTTGAACCTAGTATGGGCAAGCACTCCAGATGAGCCCTCCCTCTCCTTCCTGCCTCTGCTCATACAGTCTCCCCCATCTGATGTTCACGCTCCACTCTCACCCCTCCAGCCATCTGCCTGTGGGTTCTTTTTAAAACCTGAGGTACTCCTTTCCCTCTTTCCTTGCTACACTCCCTTACAGGCTTATTCCGCTGTCGTAGAATCTGTTGCTCCTACAGAGCGTCCGCTGGGGGCAGCGGGACAGTGGCTGGGGTTTTTCTTTTGCAAGCAAATGAATACAGAATTGCTGAAACTCTGGGGTTTTTTAGTAAGAAATTGCTCTGATGATCAGAGAAGGCCCTATTGTTGAAGACCGGCTTTGATGTCCTGTGTAAACTGAGGCAGGGCATCACATTGCTGATTGATGATGCTCCCGGGGGGGGGGGGGGGGGACAAAAAATTCCTTGAGGGTCACAAAAGGAAGGCTAAAAAAGAAAGAGAACAAAGGGGGAAAGATTCACACATACACACATACACACACACACACTGGATGGATGGATGGATGGATGGATGGATGGATGGACGGACGGATGGATAAATGGATGAAGAAAACTTCAACAAGCTCTAATGAGCAAGTTCCAATAAGAAAGCTCCAACAACTTCACACACACACACACAGAGACAGACAGACAGACACACACACACACACACATTCATACATTGAGTGGATGGCACAAAGCTCCTGCCACTTTGCATATATACACATACACACATCTTTGGTGGGTGGAACAAACCCCAGCAAGCAGGCTCCGACAACTTTTATTTTCTCTCCCACAGCTTATATATCCCAGCAAAACTTTTCAAGCAATGTAGAATTTCGGGGTTTTTGTTTGTTTGTTTGTTTTTTGGTTTTGGTTTTGGTTTTGGTTTTTTGAGACAGGGTTTCTCTGTGTAGCCCTGGCTGTCCTGGAATTCACTCGGTAGACCAGGCTGGCCTCGAACTCAGAAATCCGCCTGCCTCTGCCTCCCAAGTGCTGGGACTAAAGGCGTGCGCCACCACTGCCCGGCCTCATCTATTCATTTTTGCTCTCAGCTTCCTGATATGATTTAATAAAATTTTGCTGATGAGTAGAATCCGAGGATTTAAAATAGAAATGACTGATTGTTTTTTCATCAAAGTTTAGATTTGTGATTCTTTTAAGATTTTCATAAGATTACTTTTTGAGGTAAGTAATACAATAATTGATCCTTTCTTAGTAACCACACATTGCAGCCTGCCAGTAAGAAAATCTGGCCAAGAAAATTACCTTGCTTGGGGCTGGAGAGATGGCTCAGTGGTTAAGAACACTGACTGACTGCTCTTCCAGAGGTCC